GCACAGTGATGACGGGCATTTCGCAGATTCGTCTCAGTGCCAACACTTCGGTCGACTCATTGGGTATGCGGCAACCTCCTGGATTGGAGAAGAGTATGGGCGGGATTGATGGGGACTACAGGGCGAAATGGGGTAGGGAACTGGTGGGAGGAATAGGCATAGCAGGAGAGATGACCCTCCCAAACGCCGGCCATCCGCCGGAAGACCGACTCGTAAAAGTGTGGGGGTCGAGTTGGAGCGATCTTGCCAAATTCGGTATAAGTGTTAGGCGTTTATAAAGAACTCATCAAGAAGGGAAGAGAAGGTCTCGCAAAGACTAAGGAAAATTAATTCATCTTTACAACTCGTCTGACCTTTTTTTGCCAACTTGTTAATACTGGCAGGAAAACCCAGAGGAACGCACCTTGTCCAGAGTACATTGTATGCATCATCATTTCCAGACTACACTTTGTACATTCCCAGACGTTTAATGGGCATCGTCAGTGAGTCTTGCCATTCTTAGCACCACTCTACAACTCGTCAAAAAGAAAAGCTAAACAGTTGTGATATCTCTCACTCACTGACCATGCTGGCGTAACATCTGAGAATGTACCAAATCCACATTTCGACTATGGAAATGATCATACATGCTATGGACTCCGGGCAAGGAGCGTTCCTCTGAGTCTTTCTGCCAATATGACCAAGTTGCTAAAACAAGGTCAGGCTACATCACCTTGGTCTTCATACATTTAATTCTTCTTTAGTTATTCATTAGTTCATACACAAGACTATCTACTCGCAGTCTGCAGGCAAACAGTGACTGTGTTGCTGCCGTTCGACATCATGTGCAGGCAGAAAAGAGGCGTAAAGCTCGGCTCCCCACGGCCTGACGTACGACTTCTTGTAAATGGAAAACCGGTTTCGGATTTTGCGTTGTGGTAAGCCCAGCAGATGACTTCATCAGATAGTTTTGTGGACCAGGAAGACAAATTCCAAGAGTGCCTAAGTCTTAGTCAAATCATAATAACAACATTCGCTGCAGCGGAGAGATAACTTTCTTGGCAAAAGATTTCTCGACGAAAAGATTATGAATGCTATTTCTCTGCAGTCATTAAAGATTACGAGTCTACGAGCCAGTCGTCTGCGGCTCCTGTCGAAGTGGACTGAAATTTCGCATGTTCTTCCAGCTTACAGGCATACTCATAGCTGGATTTC